GGTGGCTGCGATGATGGACTCAAGTATAGCAAGAATTGTGGGGCTGGCGCGGGATTGGGCAGTGTTTCGCTCTGCTGTGCATGGGGTCGCTATGAGTCGGAAATGACTTGACGGCACTTAACAACAACAACATGTGGTGCCAGTGGAGCTTAATGTCCCCTGAACCATGGTCCCGAGCCCACAGGCCCAGTGACTCACTCCCTGAAGGTGCTTAGTTGTCACTGAGAAGCTACTCTCCACCCTTGTCCCCTGTTACTTGTGTAACGTGGATATTTTTGTAGCACAAATAACACATAAAAGAATATCATCAGCCAAATCTATCTGTGGTCATTGGTATATTCCTGTTCACTTACTCTGATCTTCTCACCTGTCTATGTGTTTACCCATATACTAATATTTGTTATTATTGATAATGCAGTATTGTAAAGGAGCTCTGGTAGCATAGTGCCTAAGGCTTTTGACTGCTAGCCAGGAAGTTGGCTGTTCAAACCCACCAGCCACTCCATGGAAGGAAGACTGGGCAGTCTACTTCTGTAGATTTACCACCTCGGAAACCCAAAGGGGGTTGTTATGAGTTAGAATCAACTCGATGACAGTGAGTTGCGTTTTGTTTTGCAGTATTGTATTAGTATTCTAATAGTATTTGCCTCTATTGTCTATCTTTTGTGCATATTTCTGTGTCCTCCTTTTCCCTGTTGTCATTGTGCTGGTCACAACCTTTTGTTATATTGCCTTTCCCTTCACTCAAATCAACACATGACTCTTAACTAATGAGAAAATTTCCCTCCTCTTCCTTCCCATCCCTGGTAACCAAGAAAGTAAATTTCTTTCCCTGCATAAACCTTTCCTTGACTTTTTATAGTAATAGACTCAGAGAATATTTGTCTTTCTGTGATTAATTTATTTCATTCAGCATCGTCTCCACCTAATTCATCCATGTTATAAGGTGATTGGTAGATTCATCATTATTATTCAATGTTGCATAGTCTTCCATTGTGTTAATGTACCATAGTTTGGTTATCCATGCATCTGTTGATGGGCACTTAGGTTGTTTCCATCTCTTTGCTATAGTGAATTGTTCTGCGATGAACATGGGTATGCATATGTTTATTCATGTCCAAGATTTCACCTCTTTAGGTTATATTCCAGAGGGAGCTCTGGTAGCTGAGTGCCTAAGGCACTTGACTGCTAACCAGACGGCTGGTGATTCAAACCCATCAGCCACTCCTCGCAAGGAAGGTTGGGCAATCTACTTCCATAGTGATACCTCGAAAACCCAAGGAGGTGTTACTATGAGTTGGATCTGACTTGATGGCACACAACAACAGGTTATATTCCTAGTAGTGGACTTGCTAGATCAAATAGTATTTCTGTTTCTGATTTTTTAAGGAAATGCCATACCGTTTTCCACAATGGCTATACCATTTTACAGTCCCAACAGCAGTGATGAGAGTTCATAACTCTCCGCACCCTCCTCAGCATTTGTTGTTTTCTGCCTTGTTGAACTGTGCTATTATTGCTTGGATGAGGTAAGATCTCGTTGTTTTGATTTGCATCTCTGTAATGGCTAATGATTGTGAGCATTTCCTCATGTGTTTGTTGGCCACCTGTATATTTTCTTTAGTGAAGTGTCTGTTTATGTCCTTTGCCCACTTTTGAATTGGATTGTTTGTCTTTTTGATGTTGAGGTGTAGAAGTTTTCTATAAATTTTAGTGATAAGTCCCTTGTCAGATATGTCATAGCCACCTGTTTTTTCCCAATCGATATGTTCCGTTTCTTACTATTTTGGAGAATTCTTTTGATGTACATTAAA